GAAAACAGCAAAGCGCTTCTAGTTTTACAGTGCAAATAGGAATGTATTTATTAATTAGCTTGGTGAATGGCAGGTTGAGTAATTAGGCTGTAATACATTTTTTGACACCACTCGCATATCTGATTTTTTTTTTCACCTTCTATGTTCCACGGGAAACATTTTAAAAAGATCAGATGGAGTTTTCACATCAAAACTAGCGCTTTCCTGCATAAGATTCCTTTATATTATTTGGACAGAAATTACTCATTTTATACTACTGTAATCACCTCTAAGTTAAGGGAGATTTAGGATTGGAATGGCAAATTGAATAAGGAATTAAAACAAATCTGCCTGTAATATTTATGAATTTATAGAATTACAGCACTTTGCTTCTAACTATTTATTTGGTTGATTATAATGCATGAGAAAATAATTTAACCTTCTTGTAGACTGATATTTCCTGATATGGAAAAAGTAAATTTTTTAAAATGTTTCTTTAAAATATTTATCTATATCCTCGGTTCATTTTATATTGGAACTTTTCTCAGGTAATAAATAGCCTTTTGGTTTTATTATTAAGCTGAGTAAATGGACAAATGCATACAGAAGAAAAAGTTATGTAAAGCAAACTCTATGTTGAAAACTTGCATTCCAACATTCCCCTATCTCTTTGTCAAGAACCAAAAAGAAGCACTTATTGCAAACATTTATGGGTAATTAGCTTCAATCTACACAAAATCATACCAACAGCGTCTAAAAGCATACTGGTGTAGCGCATGCAAACTGGAGTTTATGATACTGCATTCAATGTACAAAGTGCATGTGCATGGATTTCGAAATGCAAACAGTAGTAGCCAAATTTATTCAATGGCATATATTTCAATCCAGTAATTCAATGATTTTCACGAAAGAAACCCTAGGTTGCAAGCTATGATACACAAGCCAGTACACTATACACAACAAAATGCACCAATCAAATCAAAATACCACCAGGCAGCCAAACAAGGCAAAAATCCTTGCCCTGGGGCTTTGCTCAAGAAGCCACACAGTGAACTTTGTGTGATGGATCTGTCAGAAGTGATATAGCTTTGCAGATAAACTGATTCTATCAAGTGAATATGCACCAACAAAATGACAATCCATCCCTCTTCCCTAAGACCGATAAGGTACGAAAGGGCTTCAGAGTACCAAGTGTGAAATGACATCAAGGGTCAGCTCAAATCCTTTACAGTGCCATTAGTACTTACATACTCTTCAATGAACATGCTGTCGGCATACTGGGTGACAAGATTTTAGCTATGGACATGCATTGTGCAATACATAGTAGTTTGGATCCACTGTTCATAAAATCAGGATAGTTTATATTTCTGAAACAATGTTCAGCACATCGTGGGGATAGAGCTAGTGATGACTGTACTCGGTTAATCATGATCAATGGCCTGTTACCATTCAAGCATTCAAAACAAATAGCCACAGGCCTTTTGTTGCTTTCCTCACTAGTTCCCCCCCATCCGTTCCCCCCCCCCGCACCCCCCCCCCCCCCACCCCCCCATTTGTGACCTTTTCTGCTGGTATCAATTTCCACTGTTTCTGTGCCATGTGTAATCTGACTGAATTCCGAAACTGCAGCTGGCGTAATTTACTTAATCTTGTAAAAATGATAGAAAATGGCAGAAAATTGTAATTGGAAAGGGAGACAGCAAAAAAAAAAAAACCATTTTTTTGCTGAACGTTCAAAGTAAGCTTTATATAGCTTATTTAAAAAAAAATCTATTTTGTACCAGAAGTATTTTTTTAAAATAAACTCCATGATAACATAATGCAGTACAACACAAAAGTAAAAAAAAATGCACAGTAGTTTCATAAGCAGACATTATTACACTCCATGTTCTGTGGAAGCGTGCAAACATACATCTACCTTTGGCATGACAGAAATAAAACAATGCATACTTGGATTATGTGTGGAGAGGCATTAGACATTTTGACATTCTGTTACCTTACTAGGACCAGAACACAATAGTATACTGTAGTTTCATTGATACAAACATTCTTTACATTGTAAACGCTACAGGCGTAAAAGTCTAAACCTTTTGAGATAAAGATGGATAAAGCGATCAGTGGATTTAGAACGTGCACTTTTTATTCTAGACGTTAAACAATAAGGCAACCCAATTGTTGTATGATTACCAGGGAAGTCTAAAGTCTAGCAGTATTCATGTTGTGACCATCTTATATTTGGTAACTTTATATATATAGATATATATATATATAATATATATATATGATTTGTATCAGCATAGTTCAGTTGAGATTGTCATATCTTCTGCATTAAACAACAAATTTCAGGAATTAAACATACATGTCACAGATATGTATTAAGTTACACAGCATAAACAGATTCTCATTGCATGACCCACACAGTTCGTACTCCTTCCTATCTTTGCTGATTTTTTAAGATAAAAATAAAAAGCACATTACACTAGCTGGAAAAAAAAAGATGAGAAGTGAAAGTAAACCCGAGTTTGGGTTGAAGAACTGTGAGCAAAATCTGTGAACACTTGGGAGCTTTGTCATATTCTAAACACCAGAAAAGAAGCAGAAGTAGAAATTAACCTAGAATAAGTCATGCTCCTGGACACACGTTTAAGAGGATGGGCATAAAAAATAATGAATAGCACCCAGTGTGAATTTCAGTGCATTTTTAAGGAAAAAATATATTCCAAGGTTTCCATGTTGAAATCTATTCATTGAAAGTGCTCGGTCGATCTCCAAATGGTGAATAGATGGATAAACTTGAAACCATTGTTTGTCAATCAAAATCCCACCCAGGACCCCGGAAAGTGTCAATAAAGATACTCTATGCCAAATACAAAGGCAATTCTCTCACTGTCTGGCATGAGATATGAAAACAGAGATGGAACATCACTCTGATCAACGACTGCTGTTGAGAATCTGTGCAACATGCCAGTTGTTGATGTAAGTGCACGCATTTCAGGGGCCAATTTTTACGGATAGATTATTAGAATTCAAGGCAGGTTTGGGAGGGTTTCAGTTTTGGGCCATTTGCTTGGCCTACCACAAAGTTAGCCACCCAATTATAAGCTTCTGTACGCTAAAATGTACAACACTTTCGGTCCGGAATGATACATCGGTACCAGAACAACATCAACGAAAGATCAAACCAGTCTCAAATCATCCAAATGAAATTTGGAAAAATAAATTGCTTATTAAAGATTTTCTGTTTCTGTTTTTTTATAATCTACTAAACAAAGAGAGGTCGAAAGATGTGAACTGAACTACCGGCTGTGGTTACGCACCCATTCGTTTTGGAAAAGAGAATTTCCAAGTGTACCAGGTTAAGCCTTATCTGCCTGTGCCTTTTTGATTGAATGCAGTGAGAACCTGTTTACTGAGAACACACAGACCCAAACTGTCAAGCTCTCAACAAGCTGGAAAACGCATTCCTTGAAAAAACAGATGTTGCTTGGCTGGTGGGGTTTGCCAACATGCATGAAAGTAATTATGTGCGGGAGTGATAACTTCCATTTCAATTAATATCCCTGCTTCGCAAGGCTCAAAATATGACATGTCACAGCCAGGCAAGGCAGCCCAGTCCAGTCAGGGTGCAGTCTCCAACATAGCAAAGAACAAACAATCTACTGATCTTGCGAGTTTACGTGACAATGTGAACTCTATTTAGCATCGGATGAACCCGAAATAACTTTATTAGGGAGAATTGGCAGTACTTGCTTCTTGTTTTTTTTTACTGGTAACACCTCTGTACAGAGACAATGTGATCTAGATGGGCTCTTCAACTACATTCAGTTGATCGATCCAAAGAGAATTGCATTAAACCTACTCTCTGTCTCTCTCTCTCCATCCTTACTGTTAGCCTGAATGATTTACTGATGCGACTAGAGAAAACATATCTATTTATACGATAATAAATGTGCATCATCTTGGGACTTGATATGACCAGGTGATAGAGTGCAAGTGAATCCTAAAAAAGTAACACCATCTCAGAATTTTAGCAATAATGCTCCAAAATTATTTATTAATCAAATTTTGCAATCTTTTTGCAGATTCTGTGCCCCCCCCACCCCCCAAACCCCCCCACAAATGGCGTTTTAATATAATTTTTTCAAAACAAAATCAGCAAATATCACTTTGCGAGATTAAAAATAAATCCAGCAAATCATCCCTTATTTTGCAGACCCACAAAATCATTAAACAAATTAAGTATTTGCATTTTAACAACTATTGACCCATAGGAGGTTTTTTTCTAGTCCCTTAAGAAAAAAACAATGATGTTATTAACGTTTTGCTGATTTTATTGGATCAAATATAATTTTGCTTGAAATTCCAATGGTATGAATTACTGATTATTCCCCATTATTGTGATGAGGCTATTGAACTGCTCTCTTTGTCGACAAACAGCACACAGAAGTGTGGTTGGTTTTAATGGGAACCAGAGCATCTTTTGAGGAAGAGTTATCTGGAGCTTATAGGGCTGATCATCAAAGAGATACATTGGTGGAGAGGGATCAATACTGTCTAGTGCGCATTCATCTCTGAAGAATCAAGAGTTATTGTTGTTTGAAGTGGGGTGGATGGGCGGTTGGGTGGGTGCTGGAAAAGGGACATCAATGAGCCTACAATGTTAATCACCCTTAAGTCTCTCGATAAAGGTTAGCCCTGCTAGATGTGTTGGAACCTTAAATTTCAAATGGCAAATTTTAATACGGGAACAGCCGCAAATTGAGGACGGATCCAAACTGACAGCAGGACAGAGAGTGGCCGAAGAGATTCCCAACTTCAACTGCGGAAACAGTGCCACAAGTGGATCCGGATAAAGCAGACGTATTATTCTTAAAGGAGTGCCTGACACCGATGATGCACAGCTCACCTGTACGTACCACCTGATTGAATGACGATTCATCATTCCTGTGAAGCAGTCTTTTATTTCTGTGCTGAACTTTGTAAATGATAATAACCGTACGTCAAAAAAAAGGTCTCCTTACCTGTCGCTGTAGGCAGCTGCAGTGGCAGTGGCAGGCTGGGCATACCTATATGCAGCGTACCCACCCTGTAACAAAAGAAGAAGCTCAGTCGGCTTGCAGTTTCACAGCGTGGGATGCCCAGTATTTTCAACACTTATGGGAGAAGGTCCAGATTTAACTCGACTTAAGCTTCGAATAATGATTGCATGTTTGAGAATAAATTTGATGTAGTGTCTTATTTTTGATGTAGCCCATTTGATATAGCGTCTTATCGCGTCTTCGAGACGTCTCAAAGTGCTTCACGCAATATACTGGAAAGTCAATTGACTATGTTTTGTGGGCGAAATCAAATCAATGTGGACATTTTTTTTGGACAGAAGGTAACATTGATTTGTAAAGCTGTTTGCTGCGAGGTACGTAGGGTAAATTTCATGACTATAACGCTACAGCTCGTCAGGATCTGGACTGAAAATCTGAAATCACAAAGACCTTTTTTTTACAAGGATCATGAAGATAGCACATGGTTCTTCACTAATTGGGTCCAAAGTATTAATCTATTGAAGTCAATCATTGCAGCCCTTGGGAAAGATTTCCAATGTTTTGATGCCTAATATTCTAAAATAGACATTTAGAATCCACTTCTTTATGTGGATAGACATGAATCATAATATTAATAATAGTAATAATCCTTGCATTTGATGTCGGGAGGGTGTCGTAAAGTGCTTCACAGGATTTAATGTTACGTGTAGTGACTATGTATTATACGGGTGAATAATGTACCACAAACAGCCGTAATGTGAACAACCAATTTGTATTTGGGTGATTGTCGGGGCACGATAAGTCAAGGGGTTAAGTCACTATCCAGGCAGCCTAACAAGCAACCCTTTGGGCTAGATGTAGTAGAGGGCTCTTCCACATGCAAGAGAGACTATTTCAATTTGTGATTCATTTTGGCTGATTTTGTTTGATATTATGTGGCTTTATGTCAACAGCCCTTTCCACGGCATTGGTCTCTGGGGACAACATCTCGACTTTAACATAGTTCTTCTTTACGTTTTATTCCACTCACCCAAATGTTCCAAAAAAAATATTCTTTTATTTTCGGGGTGTTGGATCACACAGCAACCAACCATCTACAAAGAAACCAACCCTCTATCCAAGTCCTGGGGTGGGGTGGGGTGGGGGTTGAGATTCAGATGTGTTTTTAGGAAATGCTGCCTCTTGTACAGTTCCGGGCAACTTGACAACTCATGCCAACAAATGTTGAAAATACTGAATAACCCAATACATTTCTGTACACATATCCCCCAAAATATTGATCCCGACACATTTGTTGGCTCTGTTGTTAAAATTTATTCTCAAAAAGTGCATAACTGGAAATTAATCGTTGTGGAAGAAATTAGATTTTTTTCCCCCGAAATTAGCTTTTTGCTAATTTTTAAAGTAATGATAATTGCGGCTCTTCAATTAAGCAACAGGACAAACAAATGAACATTCAAAATGAATTGTGTGCAGTGATGCATTGATTATCAAACTGTGAGAACAGCAGAACCTCCTGTTCAATGGGCCACAATGTTATATCAACCATTTCTAAATAATCGCAGCATGCCAATTAACATACAGAATCCAGTCTCTGTAGATAAAGCAAACACCATTTACGATCCAATTAAAACGTGGTTGGAAGTGGTTGTCCCACCATCCTTTGGGACAGCCTCCTCTCTGTGTACTCTTGCAAGCTCAGTGGAAAAAAATAATGATTACAAAATTCCTGATCTTTTCAGCCAAAGGTTTTGTTTCCGCCCCCATCTGAAATCAACGTTCATAACACACTTTAGCCACCATTCACCCCGCCTCCCCAAGCTCTGGTTTACTTAGAAATTCCCCCAAACTGCCACAAAAGTGGTTAATGTTCACTCAAAACCCATCCTGCATCCAATAATTCCCATTTAATCTCGCAGTTAGTAAACATTTCACAGCAATCCACATTCAGTGTGACGTTTTGCTCATCATACAGTACTCCATACCTGTGGTAACTTATTGCCATACACAGATTCTTGATATACTACTCTATAATGAAACAGAAAATAATGTTTTGAATGCAAAAAGAATGAATAACCCATGAACCCAATAAGCCATTCCTTTTCAAGTTTGCTTTTTTTTGATATTGGGCCATTAGAAAAAAAACTTTACAAATTAAGCATAAGGCAAATCAGAAATGAAGCAAAGGAGCCTTTTGAGTACTGAAGAGAAATTTTCCCTGAAATTAGCTTTTTGCTATTTTTTAAAGTAAAGTTTTCCCCTTAAATTGAAATGAAAAAAAAATGCTTTTTATTTATTAAAGATTTACATGGCCTCATTTTTCAGTCTCGGAAGGATGATATTCCTTGGCTGTTGAGCTCACATGCATATCATTGTTTCTAATATACCTCTAATACAATTTTTATATGCGTATCAATTTAATTTAATCAATTTCAACTTGGAGGCTAAGCACTGATGGCAGGAATTTGGAAGGGGAGAAAATAATTCTAATTATCTAGTTTTTCAATTTGATCTAAATTGCATCTTTTTCATACAGTGTCCTGTGCACTTTCAAAGTTTGTTGCTTTTAATTTGGTCACTTAGGCACTTGCAACAAACCACACGTCCCTCATGTTCACACGTTAGTGATCTACGGAGGGATTCCACTGGTGGAAGTGGTGAGACGTGACATGCATTATTTTCTCCCTTCCAACATGGTGAGCACTTGCATAACAAGCACAACGGTAAAATATTTGATGTTAACCTCCACAATGAAGCTAAATAGTTAAGCTGTCAAGTTCTAGTCTTGGTATCTGGCCTTCTCCTATGTTACCATCTCACATTTGGAATGTGTTTCGAGTCTCTGAAGTCAGAGTGGAACTTGAGATGCTGGTTTCAAGAACAAATTACATCTCTTTCTCTCTGGAGACTCAATGGTGAGAGTGTCTCTGCTCTTGAGTGAGTTAATGGCTCGAGTTACCCAAATTTAGCAAGTGACCGTGATAATTAATGGGTGTTTTTGCATTCCTGCTTATTTTCCTGATCTGCTAGCTTTCCACCTCGACAAAAATCTTTCTTCTGTCAACATAACACAAAAATCAGGCCAAAGACCTCTTCACTGAATTCATCAACTCAGCTCATCTCAGCTGGCAGATGTTAAGCTCTATAGCACAGGATGAGTAAACGGGTGTGTCTACTTTGGCCATGAGGAGAATTAACGAGATGGAGTGCTCTATAACCTCATGATAGTCCATCTACAGGCCCAACAAAGATTTAGTTTAACCTTCTCATAGATAATGAAGTCTGAAGGTCAGTTGAGACTTCACAAGACGTCACAAGATTGGTTTGGGTGAAGAAGGACCTTCGGCTTTCATTCCATCAGAATCCCCACCCTAGCATCCTCGGATTTGAACCTGATCCTGATATTGGGAATTAAGCACTCTACATCTGCAGTTACCAAGCCACGGGTACAGAGGTAATTCTGGGGTTAGTGCTCAGACTGCAGCTGTGACCTGGCTTGCCGGAAAAGTGATGCGATTGGAAACAGAAGCAAATAAGGTTTCATTCCCTACTCCACCACCCATCATGTTAATGAGCGATAGAGCCATTTTTTGCACATAACAGCAAGTTTGCATATCACATATGTTACAAGCACCAGCCAAATTGATGTCATGCATAGTGCTCCCCAAATAAGAACAATGGCAGGAAATGTTTCAAAACTAAAAAGTCAAGGTACCGTTAACAAAAATAAATCCATTTACAATTCTGTTCAGAAAATCAATGATGAATAATTACGGATTGTCAAGTGACTGAACTAATATTTTATATTTTCTCATTTTGTTACTGTGGAACCAGAATAAGCATTCAGCACTCAAGAGGCTTGAAGGCTATGTTACTTCCGTTTAAAAGTACTGGAAAAAATACACAAGTGAATATTTTTTTGGGGTGACTTTTCAGCAAAGGTAAACATTCTGCGGAATTGTTTCTGACAGGCTAGACTAGGGGTGTGTATCACAGGCCAGAACTGAAGTGCATTCCATCGTAAACTTGTAAGAAGAATGGCTTTGGACATAAATGAGGACCTCGTGCACATCATGAGTACTTACATAAATGTCTGCACCATAAAATCCATCCTGGTAAACAACACTGCAAAGATGCACACATAAAAAAAAGGACATTCATATTAGTGCATTTCCACATGCAAAAGACAAATACCACAATTTCACCACAGAGGTTAGTCTACCGGGGAAAAAAAAACACAAGGGTGCAACACTGACATTGTTTGAGGAAGTTGGACAGATTTTTCTAAAAGGCGTTTTTTTCGGCCAGGTGGCTGCAAGTCTATAAAGGTCTGTGCGGACTGTCGAGAAATACCGACACGGCTACGAGAACGTGCACACGTGTGTGTTTTTGCCTGACAAGTCTCGCTGTCCTGACCTCTAGAGGACAGCGAACAATTCAGGAGTTGATGGGAGGAAGCGGTCATTCCAGAAGCCTCCTGAGATGAATCGGAGCAAATGGAGGTGAAGAGTGATGATGAGCGATGTCTAGGCATGCAACACAAGGGTGTCTATTCTCCCCTTTCTGTAAAACATTTTGTGGGTAGCTATGTTTAACGAGAGCATCGAAGGGTTCCAGTGGCTGGTGGTGAGAAGCAGATGGTTTTCCACTGTGGTTTCAGGAATGGGTCCTTCCCATCTCAACAGGAGTTTCCACTTTGTATTGCAAAGACACTCGAACGTTATTCGATCAATGCTATGAGTGGCTGAGTTTTCTGTTGTGAATTCATATTGACTGAAACCTGGGTTAAGAATGTTCGATGAGGACCTTTCGCGGTCCAAAAGAGTGTGAGAGAGAGAGAGAGAGAGAGAGAGATGAGGTGGGTTTGAACAGGATTCTGGAGTGTTCGTCTTCTCTTTTCACCCTTCCAAAGGAAACATAGTACGCTGTGTTCCCGCTTTACATCCCTGAATGTTTCGTCCTGTCTCACAACTGTGTCGGTGATGCCTAGGTACCAATACGAGCAAGATTGCATTCAGATCATGGACTAGCTTCAGCAGGGACAAGTATAGCTGCTATGTGTTACAATGTCTGCTTTTTACCTTTGTTATATCAAGCTGCCTTTCAATTTCAGCTGCCAATGATTGCAGGTCGAGGTCGGAGGTCTCGTTAACTCTTCTCGGTTGCAGGAAATTGACTCGATTGGGTCAGGAAGCAATGCATGAATCCGAGTCAGTTGACAGACCTCACAGTCACTCATTCACAAAGCAGCTAAAATGTTGTTGGCATTGCATCAAGTGTGGTCTGCTTTGGTTGACCTCCCCCTCCCTCCTACCCACCCCCGCTCCCCCGGAACACCCCCCAAATAGGGCAACCTACTCTTGATCCATCCTTTATGATGTCCTCCCAACGTGAAAGGCACTATACATATAATAAATATGTAAATCATGGCGTTTCTTCAACTAAATATAATTTTGCACTGTATTGTATTCTGGAACCATGAGCTCATCCAGCATCTTTTCTGTATTCCCTATTCTTATACTTACAAGTGTAAGCAGTCAGTCAGATGATCTTATTTGCTATGAAAACAGACACTTGATGATGACAGATTCAACGCAGGTTAGGTCGCATTCCCATTGAAGATGCTGAATCCTCTATAAATGGTCTTCAACAATCCACATAACCTTATTTCGGCAACAGCTGTCAAATATCCTCTGCGTCCCAATAGGTCATTTAAATTCCAAAGAACAGACTGCCTGAAGATCTTACTATTGTCCTAAAATGAAACCCGAAGCTTGTGTTCCCAGTTTAGAGAGACAACAGAACTCCAATGCACTTGTGGTTCTAATGAATATTTTAAAGCCCATCAGGACCCAGGGGTGATCAGAAAGTACTTGCCAACAACTGGAAACAACTGACATTGTCTCCTGTGGGTATCGCTCTTCCCTAGCTACAAGCTTGCTCTTAAATATTTATTTATTGTTCTGTAAGTGCTTTTATTTTTAAGACTGAAGAAAAGCGATATCTCTGGGCACAAAGGTAAGAATCAAGAGAGGGAGAAGGATGTCAGACCGACTGAAGGCTATTCTGACCCTACCCAGGACACATGGCACAGTGTTTGTTATAAAATACTACATAGAGGAACACAATGAAGGTCAGTGCATGTCGCAAGGCTGTGAGTTCCTGATCTCAACTACTGAGAGATTACATCTCTACCTCACTGTGTAGCCCTACAGGTGGTGGAAGGGGAAGGAAAGGCGGGGAGGGGGAGAAGGAATGGAGAGAGAGTATCATTACAAACAATTCCCCTAATGCAACGTGTATAGCTTAAGCTGCACTGAACTTTAGCTCTTCCTTCCAAACTTTCTAACAAAGGAAACAGAAGGAGCCCAGTCTGCAACTATGTTCATGTTCGGAGATGCGTATGTCCTCCTGACAATGAACACGAGATTTACTCAGAGGTTCCAATAGAGAAGGACCTTCTGCTCTTTTCGTCGTCTCTCCCATCAGAACATCAACTCTACCATGGGCCTGTTAATCATGGTGTTTCTTCAACAAACTGGATGCCTCCATTGCCTCTTCCGCACCACGGACTTTACAAGAAGAAAAACACTGCAGATAAGTGATGGGCTCGAGTCACAACAGAGACTGATTTCTATATTTTTCCAAAAGGAAATGTGGACTTTAACACCTCACTTCTGCTCTTCTCTCCGGAAAGGGTTTATAAACGGAATAAACGTTGTGTCAGATAACTGCAAGTTCAGCTTGTCCTCCCTCACCCTCCATCCATTCCCCCACTTAGGAAAATCTGCGGTATTTTCCATACTTCTCAAACAATTTCATTTTGGGGGGAAGGTGTTGGAATTTGACCCAAGCATCCAAGGGACTTCTCTATGCACCAGCAAACAAAGGGGAAAATATTCGCACACCCTCGGTTGAGAAAGTAGAAGGGACAATATCTCTTAATGTTACGTAAAAAACGCTTGCTTTAAATTGTCTTTGATGGTCTGCTGGAGCACACAGCAGAGGATATACACACACGAGTTGATGACAGTAATGCTATTTACGTTGCAGCTTCGATGTAACTGAATCTAAGCCGTAGAAGGTTCCCCTAGTGGATGCTTATTACATTTCCGTTCCCAGTACTCCAGCACGGAGGAGGGTTTTCCAGATAGAATTCAGTTCGATGCCAACTCAGGTAACCCTCAAACATAGTGAGCATGAGCCTTGTTCCTTGGGATGCAAATGGAACCATGGTCTCTAGAGATGATGTGCAGGTTGACCAAATGTACCATAAAACTATCTCCTTCACGCAAACTCCATCTATCTCTCCCCGGCTCATCCGCCTCCCTCCCTCCCTCCCTCCCCCACCCACACACACAGAATTTGGAGATTCCAGTCACCTGAAAGAAAGGTTCCTCCCAAACCGCCTTTAGATACTAGCAATCACGAGGGCAAACAATATGCGAAGGAACTGTTGCAGATTTCATTTGCAAAAAAAAGGTTTTCCTGTACTCTGTCCAACCTCCTTTAAGAACCAGATGGTCGCAATCACAGGAAAGAAATACATCTCCAACTCTTACAACTCAAGATTCTACTATGCTGAGCCCCCGGAAGAATGATGGGTGACACATAAAACCGCTTAAGGAGTCAATGTCCGTGACCCGTACAAATTACAGTCATATCTGCCATGCTTTAAGGCAAGGTCCACCACTTGCGGGCATTCCCATGGGCTGCATGCTGTGTCCGTTCCCACGGCGGGCATGCACTAAGCTGGCAACTCCTTCCACCCGCGTGTGTTATCTGCTGACGGGCCCTGATCCTGCCACTCACCCTCCATAGGCCGGGATGGGGGGAGGGGGTGCAGCAGCACGAAATGTGTTGTAAACGGTACGTCCTCTGCCCCTCAGGTGAGCCCCTCGGTATGCTGCGGCAGCGGTTGCTGCTGGGTAAGGGAAGCCGGGAACTGAGAGACATAGAGAGAGAGAGAGAGAGAAAGAAAGAGAGAGAGAGAGAGAGGAAACAGGAGAGTGTTACAACATTCAGCGTTACAATAGCAGGCGTTCTGCTTTTTTTTTTGCCACTCTTTGAAAACCTGCGAGGCGATCCTTTCCGTCTAAACATTGTCGTTTGGCTGAGGGGTGGGGGGAGGGGGGGGAGGTGTGGGGAGATTGGGGGATGGGTGGGGGGGTAGGGGGGCGAAGTGTTAGCTTCCTGACGCGAGGTGGCTTTCCATTCTTTCGGGGGAGAATCTCGCGTGTTGTCAGAGCACGAAATCCGCACGATATTCTCCTAGTAACGGACCGCGGGTTTAATGCCAATCTGAGAGCCAAAAACATTCCACTCCACAGGAAAACCATGTTGCGATGTAATGGATCTTTCTGATCAGTACGCTGCCAGACTATTAACAAAATATAATCGGCTGCTTTTAACATTACAAACGGACAGGCTTGCCAACTGTTCAAATAAGATCAACTCCGAAATCATTATTGCACCACGTGGCACATTTAAACTGCTCAGCTGCATTTTGTAATGTGTCGCACAAAACAGTACCAAATATTTCATTTCGTTTCAGAAGTACCGAGGAGCTCAGGTCTCTCTCTGCGCAGAAAAGACTGGGTTCATAGATTTTTCCCACTTGGCTCCTGTTTTATCCTGCGAGCCAAAGCCCAAATGGGTATGGTAGTAACAAGATTGGTTTGGATGAAGGAAGCCTATCGGCCCATTTGATCTCATTCTACCAGCGCCCCCACCCTTCTGTCTTCTCATCATAGCATCAAGCTGTTTTTATTTGTAAGTGAATCCATTCTCAGCTCGGCAAACAGCAAGAAGCTTGCTCGGACAGACAATACTCTCACTGCGACTTGCGGTTCGAGCCGGTTGAACTCCAGCAGAACCACAACTCACACCTTGGAGTCTCACCAACCTTAACCCAGCCCTCTCTGGAAATATGGAAGTAAAGAGTGCGTCCCTCCGGGCAGAGAACACACATTCCATTCCAGAGAGAGGAAAAATTTCCATTTCTAGTTGGCACAAATATGCAGACCTCTTAGTCTGGTTTGGATACTCTGAAGCATTGTGATGGGTTTCTGCATGTGTCGGGACATTTGGCTGATCAACAAAGGGGAGGTTGCAGTCTGGTATTCATAATGGAAGTGGCCACTGGGACCTCACCATTCAAGACAATTCAAATCATTCAGACAGAACTATCTGGCACAACTTCAAATGCACGCTGCCGTCTACAAATCTTAGTGCAAGTACTGAGATGTATTTGCAAATACATCAACTCAACAAAGGCTGGATTTGACCATTTGCCAAATTCTGGATGCTCCGAAATGCTACATAAATAACGGTAAATCTCGACCCAGGTGGAATTTCGCTCCATCGGTGCTTTCCTCTGTGCTGCAGTTCGTCCACTGAGCAGGTTTACAGTTACACGAATTACTTGCCCATGTGTAACTCGACACAGAGTAAAAAAAGAGGCGCGAGTAGACATTGTGTAACTTGGCATCATTGGGCCGGTATTGGCTGACTGCATTAAAATGCAGCGTGTTGCATAAAAACATGCAGCAATTATTTTCCTGGTCATACGACTGTAGCTGGCTATTCTTTAGGATATATACAAAACAAAACGAAAGATCCCAAACAACGGATGATGACAGGGCTCGTCAGAAAATGCTACACAGATAAACGCCGCACAAGTAAACACATCACAGAGTTTGCAGACTCTTTTCTCTGTGCTTCTCCATCAGCGTTTCGCTTTGCATAAGTGGAAACTGATTTGCATAATTGGATTTGATCGATTCTGATCCAAAGTGGATTGCATTAACCAGCAGCGTGCAGATGCTGTAATTCACAGGAATTCGGGGCAGCAAATTACAGCAAACCATTCTTTTACAACTCGCTCATTTTTGCAAATCAAATTAAAAATCCGCCCAGTTTGTTTCGAGCCTTAGAAAGTTAAAATAAGCTGATGGATTGGCTTTCTATATTTTCAAATCAAGGCCACCCACAGACTTTTAGGTTCACTCCATGTAGCTTTTCCGAGTGCCCAGAATTTTCGATGCCCCTGTTCTGTAAGTTTCTTTGATGAATGAATAGACCTCAGAATTAAGACTGAATTCAACCATTTGTCAAAAACGCTCGGGCGGAGTACATTATTTTTCAACAAAAGGCCACGGTTTACGATGTTGCTGAAATTGATTGCAAAGGGAAGGTTAGACCCAGAATCAGCTTTCCTCTACTCTGCAGGTCTTTCACGGAGCGCGGCACAGGTTTTAAGAGTTACTTGCCGATTAAGCCGTGTACAGTGAGGATGGCCTGGAACCTGTGTGAGCCAAAGGCTGAGCACTTTCTGTCTCACTGACATCACTCAAGAGTGTTGGCAGCTAAGTCCTCAGAGCGTAGTGGGAGGGAGTTAGCAGATACTGGAAAATGCCTGGCAGTTATACATTTTAAAAAATATATATACAGAAGGCATTTGCAAATTCATGTTGTCTTAGAAAAAAGAATCGAAATCAAATGCACCGGCAACTCAGTTCTTATTGCCATTGGTAAGAGAAATATGGCAGCTTTGTAGGGCTCTGGGCTGCAATGCTGCCAATCATCGCTTCAGAAATTCCCCTGAATGCATCCCTGTCTTGTGAGCTCCCCTGTCCCATCGCAAGCAGACACCGTGCATGACATGAAAGATCATCTCTCGCTTTGCTGCACAGCAAAGGTCCATCCACAAACACAACTCCTCCCAGCTTTTGCTGACCGTCTCTGGCAACTGAATCCCTCTTGTCAGTGAAATGCTGTGTCTGGCTGGGGAAGCACCTTTTANTTTTTAATCCATTTATTTTCTTTAATTTCTTTAATGGCCTGCCACTGTGAGTTATCCTGTGTTACACCGTTTGATGTGATTTCGCAAGACTGCAGTGTTTGCAGGACAAAACATTGCAGGAGCAAGCGCAACATAAATGAAACCGTGTTTGTCATCTGAGTTTAAATATTGCAAATACGTGGGCGGGGTTGGGAGGTGGGGGGTGTTGGGGGGTGGAGTTTGTTTATTTCAAATGTTTTGGGGATATTTCCCTGAATTGCTGGTTTCATTTCTGACAGTGATTTATCCTGACAAATTACTCTCCGGAATGCAATCCTTCTGACTTGCTCTCTCCCTTCCCTTTGAAGCCAGTTTTCCGTTACCCTCAAAAAATAAAGTTGCAGAAAAATGTTTTCGAAAAGGGCAAATTTGCCAAAATTCTGGATTCTGAAACGCTAAGAAAATAAGACTTAGGTACAGGTCCAACATCAGTGGAATTTCTCCCCTCCCTCGAACATATAACTGACTGCTGGGAGGTATATTATGTGAGACTGCCTCAGGTTTAAACAGTTCTTTCATTTCTGGTCTTAGCTCCAAGGTTCCTGCAGTGGTGCAATCACAACCAGAACATTTGACCAGGGAGCGATTCAAAGGTGTGGGTGAAGATCAATGCAAGCCACAATACAACATCTTACAAGCTCCAACGTGTTGTGCTGAATAAAGATAAACGGAGAATCCATTTAATTCATAGCACATGCTCACCTCACTCTGTCCCCCACCGATCCACCACTTGAACTACTGTTCTAGGTTTCTTGAAAAATAAGGCATTTTAATGTTGGTGAACTCCCAACATTAACAGTGATGCCAAAGGCAATTTGACAAACCTGCATTGAGCTAATTTGACAGGGAAAGTGTCTGCTTTGGGCTACCAACAGCAGCGTATGTCTTCCATGCAGAACAACATCTCAAAACACTTCATGTGGACAGAGCGGGTCATTCCAGCAAAGAGAAAGTTTGGGCAAAGGCGAATGACAAATGTTTCTAATTGCGTTTTGAGGATGTGGAGAGAGGGAGTGAGGTAGAGGGATTCAGTGATGCTTTTTCATAGAGGAGGGGTGTAATAGCGATAATCCTTGAATTTGAGAAACACCTAATCGTGTCAATACATCTCAAAGATACATGCTGCAGATAGTTTCTTTTTATTAGAAGTGAGGCTTCAATCCTCAACCTTCTGACGCAGAGGCAAGAGTGTTACTAACTGAGCCAGGCTAACAACAATTTTGGGATCAGGTATCCCACATGGAAGATCCGTGCTACTAAACAGAAACAAATAACGTGTACAACTCTGATGTCCTTATTTTCTAACCTTGGATGGGGCATTCACTTACAAGATACACAGTGATCACACTTTACAGTGTATCCTGCGAAGCTTTGTGATTTCCTCCAGACATGAAAGGCTCGATATCAAATGCAAGGATTATTATTTTTTTTACTCTATTCTGAACCAGTTCGGAGTGTAATACGTCACGAACGTCTGTTATCCTGTAAATATAGTTTGACATTGGGGTATAAGCTGCAAGCACCACGGACTATTCCCCACTCGGCATATTTACACAAGCAGCGCTCCACTAATTGAGGTCTTGAAACCACTGAAGCATTTAATGGCAGAGCAGCCCCTAGTCTGTCCTTATAAACGCTTAAAAACTTTTGCTTCACACTGGTTGTGGTTACTGGCCTCTCGCTGCTCACCAACATCTGGATGGCACTCAGGCTGCTGATCTGAAATGGCACTTATACAGCAGTCTGGGCGTTGTGGTGAAACGAAAGCTGCCTCCCATCGACACTCCAGTATAAGCAGACCGCGGGACATAGCGCACGACCGATTGTGTGCAGTATCTTCGGCTGAATATGAAGGGGATAATCTCACACCAGAGGGAAACCTCGACTGTGTAAAGTCATTGCTATCTTTGTGCTTGAAAACCTTGGCATTCATATTGCAATGAGGTAAGCGCGTCAGAGGGATTTTACGAGCGGTGATATTTAAACTTGCAGAAGGTTTTTATACAGTTTGAAATGGGGTTCATACCAACATACCAACAAAGGGTTCAGAAAGTTACAGCTGGAGTTGTTCAAGGGATCGCATAATTCGCTGCGCAATTAGC